CTATAACACTTTTATAAAGCTACAAACATTTTTGATAAAGATTTTTCTGAATTATTATTTGTAGATTGTACTTCTCTGTGATAGAACTTTCTGAAAGTACTTTCATGTTGCTAGTTAGCAATAGTAAGAATTTAATTAATCGGATAGTGCTCTAAAAACTTTAAGGAGGACACAGCTGATCGAACACTACCAGGAGTGACCTGTATGCCCGCTTCAATTAACAGTTTCTTAAACCAACCCCTATTCATAGCTGGGGTGGCTGGTCTAACAGGTGACCTGGTTGTAATAAAAAATTAGTTACAGAACCTCTGATTGTCGATAGAACGCAGTATCAGTCTTGGAGCCAAATGACGGATGTAATATAATGAAATCTGGATTTTCTATAAAATGACTCTAGTCATAATGCAATAAGGTTAGATCTACGTCCTGAACCTAGCAGAAGAATAGTCGCAACATGTCTAGATACATCATATAGACTATTTGAATTTGGTGGATTATTTTTTAAATAATTGATAAGCAACCTCTTATCCCATATTGGTGCTTTGGGGGGCAAAACTTTAGATAAAGAGATTGCTTTTAATATATGTTTCACAATTGGACTTGATAATATTTTAATATTAGAAACGATTTCGCAAATTGAAGATATAACAGACTTATGAACTAAAATAGAACGATAAGCTAAGTTATCAGATAAAAATAATCTAGCTAAATATCTCGCAACATCCGAAGGCGAAGGGTTACGCGTGCTTAAATTATTTTTATCGCACTATATCGTCCACTTATCGAAAACATATACACCAAATTGGTGTATATGTTTTCAACGTAGACGTTCGCCAGCAACTAGATAGTAAAGCTTGTTCCTCAGGCGACCAATCTTTAGTTAGTGAATACCACCCAAAATGAGCCAGGCTTCCAACTGTATGCTGTTGACTTGTGCTGGCGGTCGGTTCGTCAATGTATGTATTAAATTCATTTCCAGGTTTTGAATTTTCCTGGGCCTGATTATTGACCTGTTCTTCAGATCTGGTCTCCAGAACTGCTTCTTCCATCTGAGTGCTACAATCACGAATCGGTCTCTTGCTGAATTGAGATGCCGAAGAAATTGGGGCAGAAGGCATGGTGGTGGGAACACCCAGACTAGATCGTAATGCCAAGATCTGCTGAAAGCGTCGTGAAAGCAAGCGTTCGAATCTGATAAGTCGCGCGAAGCATAGCTTTGTACGAAATGGGCGTTCAGAGAAGCGAAAAGGTCTATTTCCCCAGTGGTTGAAAATGTGACCCACCGCTTCCGACTTTAGGTGCCACTCGGAGCCGGCACGGTTGCGTGAAAATTGATCGGCTTCCGTGTTGTATATCCACGGGAGGTGATGAGGGATAAGTACAATGCTGAGGCTGTCCACCAGTGCCGAAAGCTGCTTTGACAATGCCAATGACATTGTTGACGAGCCCAGGAGCCTGTCACCATAGTTTGGTTAACTAAGGCGCCCCATTGAACTTCTGATGCATCCGTGATTAGGTAATTTGTCTTCAAAATTTTGTAATGTATGGGCGTCTCCTGGTCGATGTTTCGAACCCAACCACTCCAGTTCTTGTCTCGCTTCGCCTGAGAAGATGATTGCGGTCAGCGGACTTTGACGGAGTAGATTGCTATGGCGTTGAAGAGCACGGCAATGCAACCTTTCCCGGTGGGTGATGAAGGTTGCAAAGTTGAGAAATCCTAAGAGGCGTTGTGCCTGCTTGAGAGTCCAACTGCCGGCTGCTAAGCATGTTGTTAGGTACTGGCGAATATTGTCGATATTTTCGATTGGCAAGCGTTTGAAATTTTGCTGAGTATCCCATGTTATCCCCAAAAATTCGATGGATTGAGTTGGTGTGATGATCGATTTTTTCAAATTGATGCACCATCCCAAACTGGACAAAATCTCTATTGCGTTCCGTACCTGGGAAAGTAGGTTGTCCTTTGACTGATGAAGAATCAAGTAGTCGTCCAGATATATCACGAGTCGCAACCCTTTTCTTCGCAGTATCTCGGCAGTCCAGTTTGTGACTAATGCAAACATTCTTGGCGCTGCGGCTAGTCCAAAGGGAAGGCAAGTCATCTGATATAATTTGCCTGCGTAACTCACGCGAAGATAGCATCTGTGCAGCTCTGTGATTGGAATATGGTAATAGGCTTGGGTTAAGTCTAGTATCACCATCCAATCTTTTGGCTGTAGAAAGTTTGGCAGGCGATGAACGTGAAAAAGACTGAATGTTTTCGGCTTCATATAATGATTTAAAGCCTTGAGATTGAAGATTACTCGGTTGGTTATAATAAATAGAGGGGAGATAAAACACGGAGTTAAGAATGCCGGTTCGAGTATGCCAATGTAAATCATCTTTTGAATTTCTTCCGACATTAAGTGGCTCGTTGGTGTTTCTCGTTGTACTGCGACATTAATTGTGGTGCTGGCAAGACTAAAGGAGGGGTCTGGTTGAATGGAATTCTCGCTCCACAAATAATTTTTAAATTGGTTTTTGGAGGTTCTAAGTGAAGCCTTAGTGAAGCCTTAGTGAAGTTTAAATAATTTTTCAGACAGCCTCCCGAAAAATTGTTAAAGTCATAATTTATTTCTGAATGAACTCCGCGTGTTTTTATATTTAGCTACCCCCTTTCTTTTCGAAGAATTTTCTCTATTTTTGCCGAGTATTTGACTCTTTTTTTGTCGGGTCGATTAATTTTCGCAGTGTGGGTGGGTAGTTTTGGATTTTTAACGAAAGGAAGTAGAGGGCTGAGGAGATGGAGCCCGTGATCTAAAAAAAGTGGTTTTTTGTTTTTCTAACATATCAATACCGCCAATTTTTTGTACATATTCGGATAAGGCCTGTGGGTTGAACATATAGTCCACTGAAGATGGTATTCTTTCAATATCTTCACGAATATATTTGCTTTTTAAATTCGGCGGCGGCGTAACTCAGGAATTGCGGCACGCTTGCCGCAATATATCGTGTGAAACTGTACTATAGTCGGAATTATTCCCGAATAAATCTTTTAATTTATTATAAACAGAAAAGGGTGTTAGTTGAGTATCTGATTTTGTTGACAATGTAAACGATTTTGTAAGGCGGTAATTATTGATTTGTTTTGTGCCATGACTGCATTTGATAAGGCTGTGAAACATTTGAGCCCATTTAAGGGGCGCTGTAGGATCTTCAAACTGTCTTAATTCCTCGTTTACTTTCGATTCTGTATCGGCTTAACGAACAGAATTCAAATCGTGAGAATCGAAACACTGCATAGTCAAGAGCTTAGTCACACGAACAGATATGGATTTAGGCACGGAAGGCTCTATTAGACACTGAAAGATCAGTTGTTACTTCCATTCTGTCTACCCCTACAGGAGGGCGCAAAAAATATTTCTGTCTGTACAGAATTCGGATTCAAAGATGATTCCTGACCCTCCTGTAAAACTGGTGACGATAATGTCGTATGAAAGTTGTTATTAGTTATTAAAAAGGCATTGATATGACTTCGCAATTGGTTTGACAAAATTGCAAAACTCTTATCCATTTCGGTTTCAAGTGAAGTGGACTATTTATGTATTCGCGAGATGCGAGCACGCTTCCTGCGAGGCGGCGCCCCGATGCTGCTAGATGGTCCCGTCTTATCACCGGGCGTTGCATCGCCGTCTTCAGACTGTTCCACGGCTGACGTATTCGAACTTGAATTACTTGATGATGATACCGACATGATGAAGTTGGTTGCAGAGCGACCAATTTCACAGTATTGCCATGGCAAACAATGACAAAATTTTGAAATTTACCTATAACTCTAAGTTATTTAATTAAACCATTATCAATTGCATTAAAGAATGATGCTCTCCACCAAAGAGTAAGTACTGGCACAGGGCATAAAATTAGTTTATTAGTTATTTTTCTTTTAAGCTTAAGAAGTACAACTTCTATCGTGCTCAGTATACACAGGTTTTTTTTATGGTTGTCCCGCATTTATTAAGGTAATGTTGGTAAAATCTGTTTACGATCAGTCTTTAGCCGCTATTGTAATTAGAATATTAACAATTTTATAATGCATCTCAGATTTAAAATACCAAATCACACTGAACTTATTGTGATTAGCAATGAATTCCATAAAATTTATAATATGGATAAAACGTCTGCCGTGCAGCGACTAGCCTTTCGTATTTACCTGCCCGAAATGCTGTTTGACCGGTTTTCCTGCTCACACTCACTCGTACAATCCGCAAAATCACTCCCACACTCTCAATGTACAGCCGGTTCGCTAAAGTATACGTACCCGTTAACCAACGGTCAGATTTTTTTAATTTCAGCGAGTCAATAGAGTCTTTTAATGTATCGCTTCTTTAAAATAGTTGTTTGGTGCGATATCAGTGTAATTGTGATCAATAATTATATATTACAACAATGGATAACTTAATAGAAGTAAATGTTATAACAAGTGTGCTCTAAAAACTTATTTATGTTAATATTAATCACTCGGCCTTTTGAATTGTTAGCAACAACCGCTGATTGGGTCAACTTAAATAGTTGAGTCATGATATTTTATAACCATGGAGACTTTGCCCAAGCAATTTGTATCAGCTATGCGGACTCTCTTTGATATAATGGACGATAAACATAGTGGGTATGTTAAACTTACTGACATAGAAAATCGATGGCGTGATGATCGTACAAAAGGGTTGCCCCGTGGAGTTATAGAGAGTTTACAAAAAGTAGCATCTCATGATGGTTTATTAACCTTTGAATCCTTCTGTACTGGTCTCAAAATATGTTTATTGCGAAATCAAGTTCAAAATGCTTCTAAAAAAGTAAGTGATCTTGAAGAAATAGAAAATTCGGTGATGCATTCTCAAGTAAGCGCTCAAGTACATCGTCCTCCATCTGCTCCTTTGATGGACATCAACAATACACAAAATCGTGATAGAAACTGGATTACAAGAAATACTGAAAATTCGACACATGGCCAACATAGAACACAGAGTATGCCACAGCTAATTGAAGATAAGGATAACGTATTGCCAGATTTAATGCATAACGCAGGCGTTACCGCTATGCCGAAACGTGACAGCACACAACGAATGTTCGGTCCACCTAAGCCCCCAAGGCTTGAAAAGAATCATCTAGATAGAAAAGAAGTTTCAAGATCTAATTATAAAACAGATGAAATGCATATAGACAGAGAAGAGTTAGATAGCAAAATAGATTTCGATAACATATCACGAGTTGTTGACGAGCAGAACAGAGAAGATAGAGGATTGGGTGATGGAAGGTCGGCAAACGAGACACAGGTTCAAATGCGACGCGCCGCTCGGCGACGCGAGCCTCGAAGACACACTTTACAGAACGGTGTCGATTATAACCTTTTAAAGAGGATGAAACAAATTGAACAAGAAAAGGATGTTCTATTGCAAGGATTATCGGCAGTTGAGGAAGCCCGTGAATGGTATTTGAAGCAACTTACTGAGGTCCAAGATAAAATGCGTTACGCAGGAAGAATGGGGACGTACGTGGTAAGATTTCTTTTTTCTTTTAAGTTGGACAATAAGTAAAGTATGCTTTGAATGGATTGAAGATTTCAATCTCAATAGATTGTCCGTTCTTTCAAAGGTTGGATCACCTGGAAACCTACAGGTGTTGTAAAATGTAGATGTCACCTGTTCGCTTGCCACCTTCTTACCTAGTATAACTGTACACCTAAACATTTTAGAACTAAAGACAATGATGAAAAGGACATACCTACCTAAAAATTTTTCGGCTCATTAAAGGTTTCTTTAACATAATTATTTAAATTTAATAACGCTGTTTTTAAATATATTGTATATTATTCTGTGCTTTCATACTTAATTATAACCATTACCATAAAGCTGTTAGTGATGGGTATACACCAGTGCCGGATTAAGCAAGCGCGGGCCCGTAGCAAATTCTTTCAAACAGTCCTTGATCTGCTATGGGTTCTTAAGTATAAAGTGGTAAATAAAAACAATTCAATACTCTTATTATCTAATAAGTTTCACTCAAATAATTAAGGCTCAGGCAGAGATGAGTGGATTTAAATATGGGCCCCCTTTGGCGCGTAGCAATTCCTACTCTTGTAATACCTATACTTTTGTATTAATTTTATCTGACGAGTGTCATCTATTTAGAAAGTATAAATCGAACGCTTTTTAAAAACAAAAAAAAATAGTCAATAATTGTATGCTATATATTAATTTGATTTCAGGAGCCTTGGAACGAAGCACATCAAGAAAGATTAGAACTGCTTAGAGCTCGTGTGTTAGAGCTGAATAGGCAACTTAGTGCATTAGCAGCGGGGTGGCGTCACGGGCCACTTTCGTTACACATGAATCTAGCTCTACCAACAGCACTTCAAAACTCGCATCCTAGCACGCCTAATAATGCTACAGTACTTAGATCACAAAACCGTATGCTTGCAGAGGTACCTACATGTATAGACGATTATGTGTTAATTTATAATTTTATTACGATATTGAAAGCTTAAATCAATTTTTTTAAACGATTGCGGTAAAGCGATTAAACAAGAACTCAGATGTCATACATTATATTTTACCTTTAAGTATATATAATCAAAAAAAAGGAATAAGAAATCTAGAAAATTAAAAACGATGCATAATTTATAGTATAGACACATAGATGATGGTTAGCAATTGCTCCGATCAAGGTTCAGTTGCACGAATATTAGTACCTAATGAGTCCTTAGTCTCTGTGAATTGTCAATCATCATTAATCATTGTTACCCTCATCAATAACCTATGGACTCTCATATGGGGCAAGGATGTGTATGGTACAAATATTTTTTTTTATTTAAAACATCCCCATAACTTCATAGTGGTAGGGCCACGCAACTTTCCACTGTTGCACGAATGGACACGTCCGTCTGTGTAATTACCACGACTTCACAGAAGACCGGCGTAAAGAAGTGTAAAACTTCTGCGTTTCGTCTGGTGAGTGTGGTAGCCGGGACATACTTTATTTAAAAGTGGCCACGCATTTCAACCCTACGAGTGTTGCAAATGTCTATGGGCGGCGGTTATTACTTAATATCAGGTGAACCGCCAGCTCGTTTGCCACTTTTTCACATAAGAAAAAAACAGATGACCGTTTCATTACGAGAAAATAATGACCTTCTTTGAAAACTGTAATTGTCAATTGATATTTATTGTTTTGAAAATAAAATATTTATTTTCAGGAAGTTAATCGTAAAAACGAGAGGATATCAGTTCTGGAAAGGGAAAAGTCTGCACTCATAAGGGAATTACTTCTTCAAAGAAACAGAACAAAGCTAATGGATAACTACAATTAAATATCAATAATGTAAATTATGCAATGAATATAAATTTTTATTCCTTCTTGTTCGGAATTCTAAGGATGGTGACCACATGTTGTTCTCTTCCACTGAATGCGGTCGTGGGCGGTGTAAACTGCGCATTGCATGCTGCCACCCACTATGTCCTTCAGTGTCAGCCCATCATGTTGGCAAAGGCTCTGCCTTTAGCACATCTGCCGTTCATATGGTCTTTAATGATCTGCTTCCTGAGACTGTGCCTTAACTGTGTCCGAAGAAGCAGAGGGCCAATCACTGCAAATTGACGAGAGCCGTTTAGTGAGTTTAAGCTCTTTTAATATTGAGTTGTAAATGTTTATCCAGTGCCATAAAAATTAAGCTACACTAAGCTGTGTTACAATAAAAAAATGTTTTTTATTAATCTTTTTATTGAACTAAAGAACTAACTTTTATTTAACTAATAAAGGAACATAACTTTAATTACTGCTTTTAATGTATAAAGAGTAATCATAGTGTCTAAAAGGTATGTCATATGTCAGATATCCTTGATCCCATGCTCTTTCAATTGCAATCAACAGTTCTTTTTGTTTCTTTTGACACAATCCAGTGTTAAAGGGTTCCAGGATCTGTAAAATCATTAATAGTAATTTTAATTATTAATTAATATTTTGTAGTCATCGGATAATTGATTGTTTTCAATTGTAGCCAAGGGTAAAAAATGTATCCCCGTTACGTCACTAACTAGAATAAATGTAAATTTATAATGTTTGCAATTCATGCTGGTCTTTTGTGAAACATATGTGGTACACTCATATGGGGAGGTACCCCAAATGAGTGTGCCCATTCATACAACAGTAGAAGCTATTTGGTGGTGAAATGAAATGCAAACACATTTTTTTATTGAATTGTTTAAATTGTATAGGAATTCCCTTAAATTTCAATAATTAATATCGAAACTACAAAATTTTACTACAATGCACAAAATTTAATTGACCTGTGAACACTAGATAAAAGAGAAATACTTTTATGTTGTATGTAAATCGTCTTAACAATAACAATCCTTTTAAATCCATTCCACTGCAAATTTAGTGATTTCATAAATGTTTGAATATTTTTATATTAAACAGTATGGATTTCAATAAAAAGGCAGTGTGATAATATTCCTAAAAATATACATTACAAATTTTCAAATCAATTTTACCATGCATTGGTACTATAATAGTCGCACAGATATTGCCCCAAGTACAGCAATATAAATATAATAATATTTAAATACAATAAAAATACAAAATTTATCCCAATCTAAAAACACATAATGTATAAAATAGTTTTAATAATATTCTACTATGATATTAATATCAGTAACTACAACTTTGTGATTTAGTGACAGTATAAATATTTGCTTACCTGACCCGTGTATTCTGAAATAAATTGCTGTAGCAACTTTGTGTTTCTGTGATCTAGAACTAAGTACTCATCCCGACAGATAGGGCATGGATTTCCAGTCGTTATTATACCCCCTCGCACACAGGATTTTCTAGTTTTACGAGGAGGTATTCCGCCTTTGTGGTTGCGTCTATACAGTTTCCACACTGGATTATTACCATATGTTTCTCCGTAAGCTTTACTTTCAAGATATCTAATACTAGTTTCAACAGGAATTATTTTAGTTCTATCTTTTGATGGGTCAACAGTTCTTTTTTGTTCTTCATCTATATTTTCATCGTTTTTATTACAGTAATATCTACTAACTGCTTTGATATCAGAGAGAGCAATTCTATGCAATAGTGAACGAAAATTGGCAGGGTGAGACATGTTGAAGGTTATTTTTAATTAAGTTAAACTCAAAAAATATTAAATAATCATCTCACCTCAGAAATCAGAAAAATAGCTTAAAAATATCGATATTTGTCATCGATATTTTTATCACGATATATCGATATTCGATATTTATTTTAGATTATCTTATACTAATTTCGATATATTTTTAACTGAACTCTGGTTTCGTCTTTAATCTAATCCGATAGTCGTAGGTGCCGTCAACTACAGACCACCACCTACTAGGTTCTACCACGTACCTGGCCCCCGTTAATGATAAAAGCATTGCTGGAGTTTCTTTTACCACTTTTTCTCCCAGCGCCAACGCTTTCCAAAGTAGTAGTGGTATAGTAGAGTTCACCTAAGCGTCCTAAGGGCTTGGTGGCCTCCCAAACCGGTGAGATTAATAATAGCGGGACGGCCCGAGCCGAGGCTCCTTCGGGAACCCTCGAGCTTGGTCACCATAACGCGTAACCGTAGTTCAGGCTGGGCGCCCCGAGCATCCGGCCACCTTAAGTCCATCATATCTATAAAGGCCCCTAAGGCCAACAATGGCACATCCTGCCAAAAAAAATAGTCTTTAATGCTAATAGATAATCTTTGCACCCTGCTCATGCACCGTTAACTTTAAAAACACTTTTCAACTATTTTATTCATGTCTATTCTATTTTACGAATTTTGAAGGGTTTAAAATTGGGTTTCAGGTAGAACCAAAGATCTTACACTTACAAACTTAAGTAAAGTAAAGTAAGTGTAAGGTCTTTGGGTAGAACGCTCTCCGATAACAACTATCGGAGAGCGCTCTATTAGCCGATTTAATAGAATTCGAGACAAAGGCGTTGCCTGAAGTAATTAGAAGGGATATACCCCTGTAAGAGCTGCAATCCAAGCGGTCTCGTTTATTCTTGTAGATGCGAGAGCCACTTTATTAAAAGGTGGCAATTTGTCTGCAACCTTACGGGTTGCAAATGTCCATGGTCGGCGGTTATCATTTAACATCAGGTGAACCACCAGCACGTTTGCCACTTTTGCAATAAAAAAAATACACTGTCACAATCTAGAGTTTGAATCGCATTACCAAATGCTTGAGCATAGATCTTTTTAGTCTCTAGAAACTACAATTTCCCTAGCCGCTTAGGTTTCACACCTTAAGATCTATGAGGTGAGTGAAGATGAAGTCTCAACTTAGTGACTACAAGGCGATGGTCGCTCCAACAATGAGCTCCTCGCATGACGCGAGTGATGCTAACTTGGGAAGTATTATTTTGCCTAACTATGACAGTCAATTAAATGCCAATGCTTTGACCTAGGGTGCATTCATGTAGTTTTAGTGTACTTGGTGTTGGTGCTGGAATGATAAAATTTCGCATATAATGACTAACCCCATAGGTCAAGTCACCGCCGACTCTGGACTGGATCTTAGAAAGAGTTCGTGTCTGTTCCTTGTAAAACCGCTCTTTGATATCGTCACTTCTCTGCAGAGTCGGTGCATAGACTCCGCGGACATTAAGGAAGTTGTTATATTCCAAGAGTATACGCAAAGAAGTAACGCGGTCCGAGGTGCGAATACTCCTCCAGTTTTTTTAGAATGCTGTTTTTAACCTCAAAACTGACTCTAGATAGCTTGGTTTCTGAAAACGGAGTCCCATTCTAAAGGAGGTATAACCGCCTCCATGTTCCGTCAGTTCACCCTCGTCAGCCAGATGCGTTTCGCTGAGACCAGCAATATCAATATCGTAGTGACGGAGTTCACAATGTCGGTCTTGCGCTAAGGACACTGATTGCCTTCGCGATCGAGGAGAGTGCGGACATTCCATGCTCCAAACGTCAGTTCACGTGTCTTGGTTCTACTTTTATTATTCTTCCGTTTTCGACCACGTAGTAGATGATGCAGTATCAGCCGTGGTTACTACCCCCGTAATGCGTGGGTCAAACCTTTTTTGTGCACCTGTCTAGCTCAGTTCCCACAGCGGCCCCTCAGAGCCCCACTAAATAGGGCTGCTTCGTCATTCGGCAGCACCCTCTGCTGAATTAGTCCTGTCGACCGAAAGCACACAAAAGAGACTACTTTCACTGAGCTGCCCAGGTTGGCATCACAACCAGACCCCTCTGACTGTGTCCCATCACCATAGGTCTTGAATGAAGATTGGAGTCCGTTGTTAGGAAGAAAATATTAAAGTTTTCGCAGGAAATATTAAAATGCATGAATGTCACGCAAACACAAATGCACTCTCTCGTCCATACGCCTCTACGCCTGATGGAACAAAAAACTGCTTCGATCAGACAGTGGTTTGGATGCAGATACCTACGGAGATGTCGTTCCGGGTTTTTTATTCGAAGTTTGCCTCCTTTTAGGTGATTTATTAAGAGCCAAAGCTGGGAAGCTGAGTAAGCTGTGATAGGAAAGAGGACAAGAAAGGTTAGGGATATTGTCATTGAGGAGTGGATTTTTGGGAGGACAATGACAGGACAATGACTTGAGCAAGTTAGGTTCGCGCACCCGTATATCCATTTATTAATACCGTGCAAACGAGAATATAGAATACCCTCGGAACGAGATGACTTTATATAAGGCAGAATAATGACGTACAAGAGTCCGGTTCGACTTACACGTTTGATTTAGAGCTGCCCACCATCGCTTAATTTCTGAATTCGGTCGAGCCACTACTTCAAGTCCGCCACCGTGCATCCCGATCCGTTAGTCGTAGGTGCCATCACCTACAGACCCCTTTTTTATTTTTGCTGACCTGCGGGAAATGTCTACGCATACCCGCCCTCCCGGGGGCAAGATCGGGTTATGTCTGACTCTCACCGACTAAAAATCCCACGATGTTCCACCTAGGCGCATAACGGCAGGGCCACGGTAACGCTTTCGTACACGTCTGCAACCCTGCCAGCGCTGGCCGCCTCAGCAGTCCCCTCCCAGGGATCATCTACCCTCTTCTACAGGTAAGCCACGCTGAAAAATTAAGCGCACCTTCCCAATCGGCTTCATAATTTTTTACGGCAGCAGGTATCAACCCAAACAAGTCCTCAGAGCACTCCCCATGATATATTCGATAGAATATGCAAAGGGATGGAATCTCTTCGCAGGGCCAAAGAATCGAGGCGATCGGACAGGATTTGGTCGTCGATGATTCGAGCAGCTCTTCGTTGGATGCGGTCAAATAGAAGGAGCTGGTATTTCAGTGCCCCAGCTCAGAGGCGAGAACAGTATTCCATGTGCGGCCGAATCTGTACTTTATAAAGCTGCAAACGATGTGACGGTTTAGGATATAGAGTTTTTTAGAAGCCAGCTTGGCTTTTCCTTCCAAATCACCGTGAAATTGAACGCTGCTCGATATATCGACCCCAAGAATTCCGATCGAATCGGTGGCAACAAGGGTAGTGCCTTCAAAGGAGAGAGATACGACGACGCAGGGTTTCCTATTCGCGGTAAACGCGCAAACCTGTGTCTTCATGGGGTTAAATTGGACTAAATTCAGTCTGCCCCAATCCGAGAATTTGCATAACAAAACCTCGACTTCAGACACAAATATTCCGGCACTCTTCGACGTATTCCTGAGAAATATTTGCCCGGCCGCCCACCCGGTATATAATGCGTCACCCGTAGTGTGATCTGCATAGCAATGAATATTGCAAATATGCAACAGATCATTGATATGCAGGAGGAACAACGTATGGGACAGGACGCAGCCCTTTGGGACACCAGCGTTCACGAATTTAGCATCGGAGCAAGCACCGTCATCAACGACCTTGCTGCTCCAACGAGAACTGTATCTGTACTGTGAAGAACTGAATACAATGATGGAGAAGCTCACACATCTGCAACGAGCTTTGGTCAATTGGTCGTCACCGCTGCTCCTTCACGACAACGCGTGATCTCATAATGCACAACAGACAGTTTCCAAGCTGCAAGAGTTGGGGTTGAAAGCTCTCGCCATACTTACCAGACCTTGCATCTACCGACTATTCCTTTTTCCAAAATTTGACACCTTTTTGCGGAATATAATTCAATTCCCGAGAGGTAGTACAAAATGCCTTTGAAGAGTTTGTTGCCCCCTGTCCAGCTGAATTTACAAGAAAGACCACTGCGTTGGCTGCGTTGGCATGACCGATGCATCGATTGCCTGGGTACAATAGAAATAAAAAAGTTTGGAAAAAAAATAATTTCACAACAGTGGTAGAGTCATGCAGCAGCCTCGGCTGTTGCACGAATGGGCAGGCTCGTCCGAGTAAGTACCACGACGTATATAGATATAAAGTATAGATATAAAATGGAAGTATGACAAATACTTTGGCGTTCCATCTGGTGAGTTAGCCGGAGCCCAATTTCCAAAAAGGTTGTCAACGCATCTGCAAACCCTTGGGTGTAGCAGATGTCAATGGGCGGCGGTATTCACTTAACATCAGAGGAACCGTCTGCTCGTTTGGCAACTTTTCACATTTAAAAAAAAACTTTTTTATACAAAACGGCAATTTCATATGTAAAAACCTTATATTTCTTTAAAATAATATTATTTTGTTAATTTAATTATTTTGTTATTGTTTTAAGATTTTTTGACTTATGGTACAAATATTTTCGAGAGTTGGTGACGCTGTGTCAGTTGACAATTACTTGACAGATCGAAATCGAATTCAATTCAAATGTAACCGTTCTATTTAATTTAACTACTATTTTCGTTTTATTATGTAATTGCTCAAAATAAACGAAATGAACTATTAGTTTTAACTTAACTTATTTTTAAACAGGGAAAGGTTTGTTTATAAGCAAGCGTCGTTACCACGTTATATTTAAAGTTTCATAAATATAAAAATAGAAAGCATGTCGGATACCCAGTCTGAACCCATTATCATGTAAGTGCATATTAGGTTTTCATATTATCTTCTGCATCATTCATTTCATATAAAGCTTTCATTTTAATATTATGGTTATAAACAAAATCTAAATGTAAATTAAAATATAAATTTATCATAGGTCTCCCTTAAATGTGATA